GAACTGAGCGATTTAATCCAAGTTCAAACCATTTACTCACTCTAAATACAGTGGATCAACTGCACACTATCATTGAACTTTGTCCGGTGCGAATACTGCATCTTCATAAAGCAAGATCGAAAACATCACCGCAAACTGTCAGCAGCACAACACAGATCGAGAGACTGCCAAAAGGTCACGAAACACAGGCCACAACTCAAATTTTGGACCGCAACGACTAAATCAAGCCACTGAGCAAGTACCCAGGTAATCAAGTCACGTACCAAATCATCACCACGCCATCGATCGGTCAACCACCAAATCGATTAAACAAACGGTCGGGTCCGGCCAACCGACTGTCCCCCACTGTCCCCCCCCCCTTGCCAAGCCAGCGGCCCAGGACCGGCGGCAGTATGGCCGGCCCACGCACCATGTCAGCGTACGAGGTCTCGCGGCACATGGCCTTGACCACGAGCTCAGCCACGTCCGGGCACATCTCCACGTAGAGGCAGCGCAGCAGCTGCGTGACGCTGCCGGCCAGCAGGCGCAGCCAGAACTGCAGCAGGTCCTTCTGCACGGTGCGACGGACGGCCTCGTCGCGGTCCTGTAGGCCCTCTTTCAGCAGCCGGCGACGCTCAGACATCGAGATAGACTTGATGTGCACCTGAAGCAGGAGCGTGCGTGCACACGTGGGACACGCGGCGAGCGCACGTGCGGCGACACCGAGACGGCACGCACGTGTGGCTGTGACGTGCACGGTGGGAGAGCAGAGGTCGGTTGTGTCGATACCGAGCATGGAGTCCATGCTCTATGTCATGGATATGTCATGGACACACGTACACGTGGCACCGACTATGGACGAGTTGGTTCCGTACAAAATGCGGGGCGTTGCATCACGATGCATTGCAAACAGAGGGTAAGTAATGAATTCGAACTCTTCACAAAAGATATCCTTGGTTTCACCTTACCAATGAGCAAAATCTCCTTACGTTAATAAAGCACAAAAAGAGTGATCAGGAGGAAAGCTGACGACGCCACTGAAAAAGAGCCTCCAGCATATAGACACCAAGCCAGGAGCTAACCGCATCACCACGCACGCAGACACACCAGCTGATCCTCACACCTCCCAAGTCGACAGCCGACGCGGCACAGCCCTCCACAGGAGTGCGCCGGCGCCGCGCCTCACCTTGGTCAGGAAGAGGTAGGCCTGGCGACGGACGGGCGCGCTCGAGTCGCGGATGCGCTCCAGCACGTGCGGCAGCGTGGCGGCCGAGCCGCCGATGTTGAGCAGCACTGCGCGCCGTACGTCGGCGCTCGGGTCGTTACGCAGGTGAAACACGTACGCCCGGATCACCGGGCACTGCTTGTTGTGCGGCTCCTGCAGGCGCGACAGCGCGAACACAGCCTGCACGCGCACGGCCGGCACCGTGTCCTGCAGCCGCTCCAGCATGGCCTCGTACACGCGGTCGCAGAGCGCGTCGTCCAGGTAGGCGTTCTCGCCCAGGTGCAGCAGCAGCTTGTTCAGCAGCTGGCAGCTGCGCAGGCGGACGGCCGAGTCGGCCGCGCGGTGGCTATCCACCAGGAACTGGAACAGGCGGCCGAAGAACGGGTGCACCTCCTCTGCCTCGTCGACCGCCTTGTCGGCCTCTGCCGCCGCCGGGCACAGGTGGCGCGCGAACCGGGCGGCGAACTCGAGCGTGCGCTCCACCGGCGCGCTCTTTTCGCCGCGCACCAGCGCGTGCCGCAGCAGGCGCACGAACTCCACGAAGAAGGCCTCGTCGTCATCGCGCGCCGCGTGGATCGCCTTCAACGCGGTCAGCAGCTTCTGGTGCACCGAGATGCTGGCCTGGCATGCGACGAACACGTCCTGCATTGTGTTCAGCATGGTGGCAGCTGTAAGCAACAGGACGTACTGGTGATCTCTAAAGATGCAGTAATGATGATTGGGGCCTTATTTCTCACCCACTGCCAAGGCCATTTTGAGATGGATGCCTATCCAATATCATGTGGGATGCGATGACAGTGTGTGAAAGGCTCAAGCCCAAGACCAATGGGTCCGGAGCAAATCACCCTAACCACTATACCCCACTGCTCCCTCCAAAGATGTGGCTATGTAGCATGATCAGTGGTGTTGAAGTGGTCTGAGGTGTTAATGTGCTGTGCAGTTTCTGATGATAATTGCCAAGCATGTGCATAACCAATGAATACAAATCCTAGATTTCTGAAGTTCTTGACATTTGTGATTACATTTAGAGTTAACAAATGTATGAGTGGGAGGTCATTTTGCACTGTTCTTAAGAGCTACAGACTCAATGTTCTATCAAATTTAAATCAACAATTTGCACTTTATTTATGCCACATCATATACCTAATTGCTGCCAGGAGTTCAACAATGCACCCCTATTTTTGTTAACAGTCCCTTGACAGAACACAGGTCATGAGCATTAATCAATAGGTCTTATCCCAAGACAGGAACTTCAAAGTAATCTCTAACAGAACATGCATTCTTCATTGTCTCAAAAGTGTACCAAACCTGACCACCACCCACCCTAATCAACCTCTGTGACCAAGCCTGCTGCTGCCCATCATGCTGTTGGTGTTCAAAATCTTATAATTTTACTTCTCATTTTCCACACCATCCCCCTGCAACCCATCATCACCATCACTGACTTAAGGTGTAATGCCAAATTTCATGTCACACATGTCACATGTCACATTCCCATCATATAAAACCTCTGTATTGATCCAATCAAGCATCAGTATGCAAAAGCTGCACCTTAAAAAGAAAAGGCCAGCCTTCATCCAATATGATGCCTTGGGGCATCAACTTTGTACTGCCAGTGTTAGAATCTGATAAGCACCACTGACATCATGATTTATATATATTGACACAGTAAGATGACGTGATGTTATTGTTTTCTGATTATCAACCACGTTGTTTGCTCTGAAGAGGTCAATGTATGCACAAAATATTAACACCATGAGGCAAAAACTTAACAAAAGCCAGTCATTTACATAAAGCTAGGCATTATAAAGTGAGGCCAATATCTTAATGTAGAGATATTGCAATCTTGCCGAACTTATGTATATCATGCTGGTCGAGACCACGTACGACACGCGAGCACCGATCTTGACTTCTCGTGCTACTGCAATCACATTGCCCTTACCGGTGTTAAATTCGGCAGGTTGCTAACAAATTAACAACCGAAACATCACAGAACAATCAATTATCCCACGGCACGCAACGAAGGCCAACCCGCAACCGAGGCCAACCGCAACCGAGGCCACCCGCAACCGCCGACAGCCGCCCGAGCAGCAACCGCCGCTGAAAGTCGCGCGCGCGCCGCTCTGTTGAATACAAACACCGCGCAACATTTGAAACTGTCGCCGAATGACAGATGCTACCATATTAGTGCGTCCATATCCTTCACGTGGTTCACAGTATTTGTATTAAAAATGACACCCTTCCCATCCCATCGCGCATTGAGATAAATGTTGAAAATGGGGAGATGACAGTAGCTCAGAGATACACCACACACGAAGCCAAAGCCAAAGAGATGCATGCACGGTAAAAAAGATTGTCAGCTCCACTTTTCGCAAAAGTGTCACAAACCTTTGAACGATGCTTGAAGGCGCTCCGCCGGCCTCACGCCAGGTAGGTGGTGGTATAAAAAAACGTGCACTTTCGTCGCGCTGAGGTTATTTAAAAAAAAAAAAAACGTACCGGGACGCAACCGCCGCCGGACATGCGAGCTCCGCTGCTAGATGCTCTGCAGTCTGCTTTTCGAAAAGCCGCGCCGGCGACTTGCTGACGGCGACCTCCTCCTTCGCTGAGAGTAACGGCGGGAGAGGAGACTTTGTTAAGCTGGCTCTGGCTCCCTCCCCCACTCTCATCTGGAATGCCGTTGGTGGTATTTTGTGTTGATGGGGCGCTTCGACTGCGCGGACATTTCGCGCTATCTCGAAAACTGGCAATTTCATGCCCTTTGGTCAATACAGTGTCATTTAACTGTTACTATGCACTATGTCCAACACCATCACAAACTCTATTGCGTTTGAGCAAAATAAAGTGGGCTTAATCCGGTGCGTAAAAATGGGAGGAGTTTGTCTGGCCCAGGGTTCGATCCCCCCAAAAAGTACAAAAATTCACACCCCTGCTATGCGCCCTGATCTCTGTGTCATTACCTATGCGGTTGGACGGCTGCAATCGTAAGTCTTGCGGGCTAAGACAAGTGGAACAATAACGTCACAACACGAGTCCCGCCTGATGCAGAAGCTGGTAAGTGGGCGCTGCAATGAAGTAACGCAGACGATCCGTGGCATGGTGAGGACATGAGGTCAGGCAACACTCGAGCGGTCGCCGCACCCCTCACGCCGTGGCATGCTCTCGCCCGATAGGTAAAAAGTACGCTGCGCAGGTGGCTGCGCGTCCAAGCCGTAGCCGGCAAAGGGCAACTTTCTCAAATCTTTTAGTCACATGAGAATGATTCCCCCACGACTCCCATTCTCTCATCTGTGGTTTCGAGGACGCGCAGCAATCGGTGCCTTTTTAGCACGCACGGCGTGACCGGCCCGTGCTACGACGAATGGAGAACACGATGCGCCAACGATGGCGACGGACTGCTCAGTACGCGGCGTTAGCAGCCCAGTCAGCTCAACGTCTCACCGCAGCATGACCATACCCGTCAACACTGACTGCTGCTGTGGTATCAGACCTGACCACCTAACAGTCTACAGCGCAGGACGGGCGCCCTCCTGATCGGTCGTGGCACGGCCCTCCTGCCATGCCTGGCTCACACTCCACGACATTCCCACATTATGACCTGTTGTCGGAACAGAGCCGCCTTTGCACAGCAGCTCAACAAAACTCTGAACACCTTGCGGTCTGTCGCGGCATTGACCGGCGGTTAAGTGGCGTTTCCGTCTGCACGTGATACTGGCGCTCTGGTCACGTACGCCGTCGGGGCATACTCCAACACCAAACAACATGAAACGAAAGCGCCAATTATTATTTTCACCTTTCGCAGTTGATCCTATGGCCATGTCCCAATGAGCAAAAACGAATATCACTTGCGGACAACAGGAGGGAAATAATGCCACCGTAGGAACATTGAAGCAGACAGGTGTTGCAGCATACGCCCTACACCAACGCGCCATAGGCTCGTGCTAGTCACGGGAAGCAGTGCATTCAACAACTGAAACACAAGGTACGCCAGCGTATCCAACCTTGGCCAATCAGTTTTAACCCATTCACATCCATTTTCTCGTAATATCAGTCCATCCCGAAGCTTGGAGACATTTCATTACTCATAGCTCACCACTACACTTAAGGGGAAATCCTGAACACAACAGTCAAATCTGATGACTCGCTCAATGCTAGCGGTTCTGACTGAAGACAACAGTATCAAACGAATATGACTGACTGCATACTAAACAACTGTTTGAGCAGGAGATCGGTCGGAGGTCAACAGGTAGGTCGGAATTAGCTCGCTGCACCCGACTGAGCCAGCGAGCTCAGCAGCACTCACTAGCTCGTGCCGTTCCTGAGCGCGCCCGCCAGACAGTTACCACACACTCCATTATGCCCCTCCACGGACGAGCCATGCGCCAGTCGCGTCTCACAGCCCAGCCCGCCCGCCACTGAAAGCAGCGCCACCTATGACGCCGTCCGAGGGGCGGCCACGCGTCCAGTGGCAGTGCCCGTCTAGCGCAGTGAGACTCTCGCCACCACTGTCTCGTCGCCGCTGTCAGACCGGTGCAGAGGAGGGGACGGGGAGAGGGAGGGGGTGTGCGGGTGGCACACGAGCGCCGCCGGCCGTTCTTTAGCAATACAGCGTCCAGAAAACTCTAATCAATCCACAGCCGCGCCTCTGCCCACGCTCAAGCCTCAACGCGAACGTTAGACGGCCAGTGCGTTGCCGCCGTCCTCCGACTTGTCCTCCGCCTTCTCCGCGCCGGCCGCCCCAACCGCCTCCTCCTCCTCAGCGCCCGACGCGGCCGGTGCGGGCGGTGTGACGCCGTGCGACCCCTCACCACCGGCGGCGGCGGCAGCGGCGTCACGCGCCGCCTCAGGCGTCTTGCCACTGGCTTCCGTAAGCGGCGCCATGCAGCCGGCCACGGCCTGGCCCAGCTCGGCCAGCTCCTCGTCTGAGGACGTGTCGCCCGTGCTCTCGCGCCGGTAGCGCGGCGACAGCCGGCGCCCCTTGCTCAGGTAGCTCGTCAGCTTGCCGCACGCGGCCAGCACGAGGCCCAGGTAGGGCGGCGACGGCCGCGTCGGCCGCGTCAGGTACTCCGGGTGGAACTGCACGCCCACGAAGTACGGGTGCTTGGGCAGCTCGACAATTTCCATGCGCGTCGCCTCCTTGTCCTCGGCCTGGCCGACAAAGTGGAGACCGTGTTGCTCCAGCAGCGGCACATAGCGCGGATTGACCTCGTAGCGGTGGCGGTGGCGCTCGTCCACGCGCGTGGCGCCACCATACAGCTGCTGCAGCACCGACGGCTGCCCGCGGAACGTGGTGGCGCGCCGGCCCAGCCGCATCGTGCCGCCCATCTGACCCGGGTTGTGCTCGGGCATGTCGATGATCAGCGGCGTGGTCGCGTCCTTGACGAACTCGGTCGACTGCGCGTCCGGCAGGCCGGCCACGTGGCGCGCGTATTCGATCACGGCCGCCTGCATGCCCAGGCACACGCCCAGGAAAGGCTTGGCGTTGACGCGAGCCCACTGGATAGCCATCACCTTGCCCTCGACGCCGCGGTGGCCGAAGCCGCCGGGCACGAGCAGGCCGTCGGCGCGACAGAGGTGGCGCCACGCCTCGTGGTAGCGCACCGGGTCGCTCAGCTTGCATGCCTCCTCGAGGTGTTCAGACTGGACGAACTGCAGGTCGAGCTGGCGGCTGGCGAGCAGCGCCGCATGCTGCAGCGCCTTAATCACGCTGGCGTACGAGTCCTGCAGCGAGGTGTACTTGCCCACCAGCGCGATGGTGACGGTGCGGCGCACGTGCGTGGCGCGCTCGGCCAGGTCGCGCCAGCCGGCCATGCAGCGGCGCGGCCGCACGCCGCCGGCAGGCGCAGGTGCAGGCACTCCTGCAGCACGTCCAGGCACCGCTCCTCCGTCAGCATCACCGGCACCCGGTACAGCGACTTGACGTCGTGCAAGCAGATCACCTGGTGCGGCGCAACGTGGCAAAAGTTGGAGAGCTTGAGCTTCACCTCGGCCCCAATCGGCTTCTCGCTGCGGCACACGATCAGATCGGCGTACAGACCCAGGCCGCGCAGCTCGCGCACCGACGCCTGCGTCGGCTTCGTCTTCTGCTCGCCGGTGGAGGACGGCTGCCGGCACCAGCGACACGTGCGCGCAGCAGAAGTTGCCGCGACCCACGCGGAACTGGAACTGCCGGAACGCCTCCACGAACGGCATGCCCTCGATGTCGCCGATCGTGCCGCCCAGCTCGATGATGCAAATCTCGGGCTCGAGGCCTTCGGGGTCAACGGGCCGGCGCGCAACGCGCTCCACCCAGTTCATGATGGCGTCGGTGATGTGCGGAATCACCTGCACCGTCTTGCCCAGGTACTGGCCCTCGCGCTCGTGGTTGATCACCTGCTGGTAGATCTTGCCAGTGGTGATGTTGTTGTCCTTGTGCAGCGTCACGTCCAGGAAGCGCTCGTAGTTGCCCAGGTCGAGGTCCACCTCGCCGCCGTCGTCCAGCACGAACACCTCGCCGTGCTCGTACGGCGAGAACGTGCCTGCGTCAATGTTGATGTAAGGGTCGATCTTGATGGAGGTGACGCGGAAGCCGACGCCCTTCAGGATGGCGCCGATCGAGCTGGCAATGACGCCCTTGCCAATGCCGCTGATGACGCCGCCCGTCACGAGGATGTACTTCATGATGACGGGCTTGGACGCAGAACGGAGCTCTGCAGTTCTGCTGGGAGAGAAAAACTATCAGGACATGAGAGGAGCAGTACTGTAATGTATTTGTGACTAAACTTGGTACATGTCCATAAGGAAACATATTACAGCCACCAAGCATTCAGTACCATGCTGTAGCATCTTCACCAATGACTTCACCAACAATTTAAGAACAAACAATGCATTCTAGATAGCTACCAGGCTATATTATTGAACTATACCTTGTCAAACACCATGAATTACATTTGTGTGTATATGAATATACACACACACACACAGTTCATCAACCACATTGTTTATGGCAGGCTGTGTTATTTGTCACAAGTTGCCTGATATTCCAGAGTTTGGCACCAAAACACAGCAAGAGTTGTTACAACAAAATAGCAATGAGGCCAGCTACCAAAGGAACTATTCATGATGACCAGTTACAAAAAACTTACTCTCCATGCTCCAAATTCAACATACCCAAATAGGCAGACACCTTTACCACATCTACACCTGAGAAAAACTACAGTAAAATGCTACCTGGCATCTATGCATGAAATAACACCTTGCTGTGAGGTACTGAGACATGTGAGTGTAAAATACAATTACCATGCCTAATGCTACCATGCTTGAGGGTTGTAACTGTAACATTCATATAAACACATAAGCTTTATTCATGCAAAGATACCCACAGGCAAAATCACAAAACTTTTTATTGCTGAATTTGGTATAAAAATATCAGCACTCATTCTCTGCCCCATGACTTTCATGTGTTTGACACTTCCCTTGTACCTTGCTGTGTGATGCCTATTTTACAACAGCTATGTTATATTGTGAGCTTTCCATTCAAATATCTTTCTGTCATCATGATTAAACCAACAAAGTTACTTCACATCCAGGGCACCAAATAAACAAAAACAAGCTACCATGGATAATTTATCAGGTAAGACAGTAGTGCTTCATACCACTGTTTTCCATACAAGGCTCATTAAGCAGCTTAGAGGCATACTTATAAGGCTCATCGCAGTACATTTTCTAAACATAATAACCTTATGGTCTTTCCCTCTCTGAATGCAAAACCCATGAAAATACTACCACATTCCACAGAGATAGAGCCCTCACCCTGGCCTGTCCCTTTGAACCTTGAATGTAACGAAACCCAGGGTGAGTGGTAATTTTTTACTTTGGTACCTGTGCGGCCGACGGAGGGAAGAGCTACGCTGGTTGCAGGGTTTCGAGTACTGTCGTACTGGGGAAATGCTGCGAGGCATCAGCTGACATTGTGATGTCACAAAATGGTTTTGCATCGATCGGGATCGGGGCTCCTTTGGGCCGACTGAAGGCCATAAGGCTTTTGCAAGTGATATGATGTCACTGGTATTCGGCTGGGTATGTGACGGTTACTGGTGGTGAGTTTTTAAGGCTCTTTTGGGTCCACTGAATGCCGTAAGGCATCAGCTGACGATGTGTCGTAAATGGTATTCGATAAACATCAGGCGCGACCGGCCTCGTTCCATCTTTACTTTTCGTACCTGTCTGCTGCAAGCATTTGCATGCCGTATAAAGGTTTCACCGAATCACCTCAATGTGTGACGTCACTAATCATCCCTTCATACGAGTGCACTTACGGCCCCACGGCCACGGTGTGTCATGGTCCGCGACGTATCACCGGATAGGGTGACGTCACTGGTATTCGAATAAATACTGGGCGCAACAGGCCGTGCTTCATTTTTCACCTTTGTACCTGTCTACTGTAAGCATTGGCGTGCTGGATGAAGGCTGCCGAACCACCTGAGTGTGTGACGTCGCTGGTCATGAGTTTTACCGGGGCCTTTAGGCCCACTGAAGGCCACGAAGTGTCAGCTAACGACGCCACTGCTATACGACTGATTGTAAGACGTCAATAGTCGTGGGTTTTCACGGGCCCTTTAGGACCGACGAAATGCCGTAAGGCATCAGCTGGCTGATATGACGTCACTGGTATTCCGCTGAACATCAGGCAACAGGCCATGCTCCAGCTATAACCTTTCGTACATGTCTACTGGAAAGAATTGGCGGATTTTTTTAGGCCAACAGAAGACCATAAAGCATCAGCTAACGATGTGACGTCACTGGCATTCGACTGTGCGTGATTGTCACTGGTCATGAGATTTTACGACCTCTTTTGGGCCGATGAAAGGTCATACGGCATTAACTGACGATGTGACGCCACTGGTATTGGAATAAACTTTCAGGCGCGATAGGCCATGTTCCACCTTTACTTTTGGTACTTGTCCACTGCAAGCATTGCCGTGATGAAGGAAGGCTCTGCCGAATTACCTGAGTGTGTAACGTCACTGACCATTAATTTGTATACTCTTTTGAACCCACTATAGGCTACAAGACATCAGCTGACGATATGACTGTCACTGGGTTTCCACTAGACATCCATGCGCAACAGGCCATGTTCCATCTTTACCTTTTGTACCTGTCTATTGCAAGTATTGGCGTGCTGAAGGAAGAGTCTGCCGAATCTCCTGAGCGTATAACATCACTGGTCATGAGTTTTTCGGGCTCTTTTGAACCCCCTATAGGGTAAAATGCATCAGCTGATGATATGATGTCACTGGTGTCCGACTAAACATCAGGCGTAACAGGCCATGTTCTATCTTTACCTTTCGTACCTGTCTATTGCAAGTATTGACGTGCTGAATTAAGGCTCTGTCGACTCTCCCGAGTGTGGGTGAATACTCAGGTGAATCGGCAAAGCCTTCATATAGCACGTGAATGCTTGCAGTAGCCAAGTAAAGATGGAACATGGCCTGTTGCGCCGAGGTTAAGTCAAATACCAGTGACGTCCTATCGTCAGCTTATGCATTATACCATATAGCGGGTTGAAAAAGCCCATAAGAACTCTTAACCAGTGACGTTACACACTCAGGAGATTCGACAGAGTCTTCCATTCAGGACGCCAATGCTTGTAAACGACAGGTATGAAAGGTAAATATGTTACATGGAACATTGCGCTTGATGTTGAGTGGAATACCAGTGACGTCATATCATCCCGCGATACTTCACAGGATACGGGATACGGGATACTATGATGCTTTGTCACATTGGGGTGGCCCAAGTGCACCTGTATAAACTCATGACTGGTGACGTCACACACTCAGATGGTTCAGCATCGCCTTGATATAGCACGCGAATGCCTGCAGTGGACAGGTACGAAAGGTACAGATAGAACATGGCCTGTTACGCATGATGTCTAGTCGAACACCAGTGACGTCATATGGTGAGCTGATGTGGTATGCCCTATAACGGGTTCAAAACAGACTTATAAAAATGCATGGTCAGTGACATTACAATCTGAGGTAATTTGGCAGAGCCTTCCTTCAGCATGCCAATCCTTGCAATAGACAGGTACCAAAGGTAAAGGTGGAGCATGGCCTGTCGCGCCTGAAGTTTATTCGAACACCAGTGACGTCACATCGTTAGTTAATGCCGTATGACCTTTCGTTGGCCAAAAAGAGGCCATCCAATCTCATGACCAGTGACATCACATACAGTTGAATGCCAGTGATGTCATATCATTAGCTTATGTTTTATGGCCCTCAGTTGACCCCAAAAATCCATAAAAAATCTCATGACTAGTGACGTCGCACACACACAGGTCATTTGGCAGAGCCTACCTTCAGCACGCCAATACTTGCAGCAGACAGGTACGAAAGGTATAGATGAAGCATGGCCTGCTGCCTGATGTTCAGCCAAATATCCGTGACGTCATATCGTCAGCTGATGCCTTACGGCATTCAGCCGGTCCGAAAGAGCCCGTGAAAACCCACGACCATTGACGTCACACAGTCAGTCATATAGCAGTGATGTCCTTAGCTGATACCATGTGGTCTTCAGTGGGCCCAAAAACACCGATGAAACTCATGACGTGACATCACACACCCAGGCGGTTTGGTAACTTTCATTCAGCATGCCAATGCTTGCAGTAGACAAGTACGAAGGTAAAAATGAGCATGGCCTGCTGCGACCAATATTTAGTCGAATATCAGTGATGTCACGCTATCTGATGATACTTCACGGAACATGATACACCGTGGCCGTGGGACCTAAGTGCACTCGTACAAGTGATAATTGGTGACAGCACACATTCAGGTGATTCGGTCAAACCTTTATTCGGCACAAAAATGCTTGCAACAGACAGATATGAAAGGTAAAGATGGAACGAGGCCTGTTGGGCCTGATGTTTAATCAAATACAGTGACGGCATATCGTCAGGTGATGCCTTACGACATTCATTTGACCCGAAAGAGCCCTAAAACCTCACGACCAGTGATGTCATATACCCAGTTGAATACCAGTGACATCATATAACCAGCAAATGCCTTATGGCCTTCAGTGAGCCCAAAAGAACCCCGATCAATGCAAAACCATTTTAAGTGATGTCACAATGTCAGCTGATGCCTCACAGCATTTCCCCAGTATGACAGTACACAAACCCTGTAGCCAGCGTAGCTCTTCCCTCCGCCGGCCGTACAGGTACCAAAGTAAAAAAAAGCTGATTGAGTGAACATAAGTTCTGAAGTTGACCATGACCAGACCCAGGTGGATTGAAATAAACAAGCCTTTACATCACGCCCCAGCTTTCCACCTGAGGCTCATGTTCTCTCCACCTGTATGAGCCTCGATACTGATTTCATTATCAAAGAACACTGCATACGTGCACATAAAAGAAAAGTATGAATTAGCATTACATACATAGGAACTGCCCCAGCTTGGTGTAGCAATAGCTAACAGTATTCCAGCCAAAGACACAAGGCTTGGAGAGCATTAGTAGGGGTGCCATAGCCCTGCCATCTATCAACAATTTTAGCAAGGCCTCTTCAGTGACAAATAAAGACTGAACTGAAAGGGGAATTTGAGGACCCCCAGGTCCACAGGGAACCTGACTGCATATCGCTAACTCATGCCCTTCTAATTTTGGCTTAATCTCAGAGTGGGGCAGAGCCAGAAGAAAGCCAGTTGAAAAAATGATTACCCATTCCTTTCACACGCTATGAGCCCGTCCAAAATCACCCACAGCTCACCAATAACCCAGACCCACGTGGCCCCGCCGACTAACGTCGCGTTCTGGAACGAAGCAATGCCTGAGATTAACTTGCATTGCAATGTCGCATGACAATCAAAATCGCCACGCTACCAACTGTGATATTTGTATGCTGCCAAATCATCTTTGAAATCCCTTCGTGATTTATTCTGAGAGGAAGTTCTGAGGAAAGTGATTCTGGCCAGCGCCGCACTTTTCTGCAGTAGCGCAAGCAGAGCGAGGTGGGGGGGGGGGGGGGGGGCACAGAGGGCACGTGCCCCCTTGGGTTCAAGCCTGAAGGTCCCCTCGGGACCTGTGATTAGGGGTCCGGAAGCTCGGACGTGGCGTTTGCAGCAGGAAACACCATAAGCCCAACTCCATCCCCGTTACTTTTTCCCATGCTGTCCGCCAGTCTGCCACGAGCAACCGCGAGGGCGACAAGCGTGAGCACCAGCGCCAGTCTGCACAGCTGGGCTGCACGCGCCTAAGGCCCTTAGTCCTCGGACTGGACCCGATCGTTGGTCCCGAAAGCCCTTCGGGCCCTATTCGGGCCTCATCGAGCACCACCCGTGGCCGAATCGGGGCCCATTGCCGACACAGGACCCCCTGTTGGCACTGTGGTCATAAGGTCTCTTTAGGCCCTTGGGCCTCCGACAGACACAGGGGTGACTAATGTCAATCACCGACCCGGCCTTTGCCCCTGCTTGGGAAATGTGTCCCAGGCCCACACCGACGAGAAGCGGACCGTATGGTGCTGTTGGTGTCTGGCCGACATGCGGACACTCATCTGCTTAGGTGGATCCCGATCGGCGCAAAGGCCTTCTGGTGGGCATTTTGAGGGTTCGTTCCTGCGGACCGGGGCCTCTGAATAAGAGCTAAGGCCGGCCCTTCGTGCCCTAAGGCCCTCCCATCGTGCCCTTAATCGTCGACCCCGGTTCCAGCCGCTCCTAGGACCTCCTCGAACCCTCCCATGGCCGAATCGGGCTCCATTTTCAACAGAGGGGGCCCTGTTAGGCGCTGAAGGCTTCTGACAGACGCAGGCACCCCTGGCTTTGTTCCTGTTTGGGAAGAGAGCCCTCAGGCCCATACCGACACGGAATGCACTGTGCGGTGCTGATGGTATCTGACCGACACAGAGGCCCGTATCAGCTCAGAGGACACCCAATGGGCTCAAAAAGGCCCTCTGGGTGATATTTAAGCGTCCAGCCCTGTGGGCCGGGGCCCCTGAACACGACCTCCGGCCGGCCTTTCGGGCCCGTCGAGCTCTCCAAAAGTGCCAGTAAGGCCCCTCATGACCTAAGGGGGGGAGAGGGGGAGAGCACGTGCATACTGTTGCCCCTTGCCTTCGCCACTGTCAGAGGCCAATATACTTTAACCTGCCGGGGCGGTCCCGACCGTTCAAGGTAACTCATAGGTCCTAGGCTCTTCTCGTTGGCTCGGAGGCCGCTACACAGTTAACGGGGCCTCTGTGTTGAGCATTCCCTGCACCCTAGATCGCACGGATGCCGTCCACATTGGTCTTGGGTTTTCCATTTCCCGACGGACCTGCGCTGCTCACCGAGGCCCTAGACTGCCATGACCGCTTAAGACTACCACGTTGTAGCTTTTCACCCGCCCGGCCTGTCGGGCGGGCGACTTCATGCCGTACCTGGACTTCATGCTGTGTGGTTATTTCAATAATGGCGTCCACACTACGTCCACATGGACGAGCCAGTAAACCTTTAAGAAGTTAGGGTCGCTCCAAGGCTCGAGATAGCACGCATCACCGTGGACAAGATCGACAGGACAATCAACCATTTGCGACAGGTTTGGATAATGCGCATCCCGGACCGCCAGAGCTCCCATCTGGTGCATATTTTACGATCGCAATTTGGAACGTGTGAAATCTCTCATGATTTTCACTGTCGCTGCTCCTGTTTTGCCATTTGATTGGCAGTGGAATGCCACTACAATCACGTTTGTGCGAGAAATACCTTTGCCAACCTTGAGAAAACATTGGTTGTCTTCTGTCTGGGTCACATAGTGCTTTAAAAAGCTGATGCAGGATACAGTCCATTTTGTTTTTGTCCTGATCCTCCTGTGTTACGTAGTGAAACACCTGCCAATCATGGCAGACTAGCCTTATATGCGAAAGAGTTGTTATGCCAGAAATGTTAAATAGCTGCAGAAATAGCTACTCTTTGGTGCAAAATGAACCTTGCATTATTAATATAGTGTTTAGGGCCCTAGTGTGCCAACAGTTCTGTTAATTGTCTATATTTTTTGGAGCCCAGTATTTCCTTTTTGTCATATATATTGTGTGTGATGGGGAGGGGCTGAAAGGAGCATGGGGGAAGGGCGGGTCAAGTCAGTAAGCGGGGCTTAGGTCTCCTTGAAAGCATAAAAAGCAAAGCCCCTGCTACTATCCTTTCGATATGGGTGGTATGGGTAAACCCATAGGTTTACTTATCCCACGAAGTCCTCCGTACACATTTCCATAGTCTGTGGAAGCCAGCCCTTGACCCTGCACGCACAGAGGCTTGCAGCGCCCCTGCGACTCACTACAGGCCAGCGTGGGGCAGGTTTCGCAGTCCACACACATTTCGGAGATAAAGCTCCAGATAGACCCACGACGGCCGCGCGCCACACACGAGCAGTGGCGCGGCGTCACGACCGCGCGGGTCCTCGCGGCCAGTCAGTGGACGGCTTGGAGCGGCTCGGGTGAGTGTCACGGCTACGCGCTGCACGGCCTCCGGCTCAGGCCGAGGCGACTCTTATTACGACGCGCATATTTGGTCGATTGTGTCACGGCCACGCGCCTGCACGGTCTCCGGCTCAGGCCGAGGCGACTCTTATTACGACGCGTGTATTTGTTCGATTGTGTCACGGCCACCCGCTGCACGGTCTCCGGCTCAGGCCGAGGCGACTCTTATTACGACGCGCGTATTTGTTCGATTGTGTCACGGCCACGCGCCGCACGGTCTCCGGCTCAGGCCGAGGCGACTCTTATTACGACGCGTGTATTTGGTCGATTGTGTCACGACCACGCGCTGCACGGTCTCCGGCTCAGGCCGAGGCGACTCTTATTACGACGCGTGTATTTGTTCGATTGTGTCACGACCACGCGCTGCACGGTCTCCGGCTCAGGCCGAGGCGACTCTTATTACGACGCGTGTATTTGTTCGATTGTGTCACGACCACGTGCTGCACGGTCTCCGGCTCAGGCCGAGGCGACTCTTATTACGACGCGCGTATTTGATCGATTGTGTCACGGCCACGCGCTGCACGGTCTCCGGCTCAGGCCGAGGCGGACTCTTATTACGACGCGTGTATTTGATCGATGTGTCACGACCACGTGCTGCACGGTCTCCGGCTCAGGCCGAGGCGACTCTTATTACGACGCGTGTATTTGGTCGATTGTCTGGAGTTTCACTCTCAGTATTTGTGCTGTTAGTTTGTCCGCTGTTTCTCGCGGATTTTCCCTGAGGTGGTTTCTGATGCCTGGTTTGTGGGGTCACAACCAGTTATAGACATCGACGTGGTAAAAAGCCCATCACAGAATCCTTGCAGCACCAACAAACGGCGGCAAACTATTTTAATTTTCGATGAAAGGTTTCGGAATTGGCGTCCGCCATAAGTAGAACTGCAATGTGTCAACCAGACACAACAGTCAGTAATTACTTGTCTTGCCTACTGAAACCGATCGCCTTCGGTTCATGGACTTCATCAGTCGCATTCGAACATGAATTTGCACCTTGTATGCAGCGCTTACAGATTGTTTGTCATACGTCTATTCATGGATGCAACTTCTTCGAAGGAACGTGTCACAGATATAACCTCCCGCTGGTGTCAAACCTCGCGACCTGTCATTTGTTGCCTCACCTCGTTGAATGTCGCGTTCAATCACGGTAAATTTAAGCAGCTATCTGAAAGGGTCAAAGACCACAGAAATGCCTCGCAAAAATCAGCACATGTTCGTCACTAATGATTTAGACAGCACGTCAGGCAGGGTTCAGTTCGGCTTGAACATTGTACTATTTGAACGAGTACCACACGGCCAACATGAAGCTGATCCGGCTCCGTTCTAGCGGGAGGACGAGTTGCAGTGGCCATGTCCTAGGCCTAAAAAACTGTATGATTCATCTGCACGATTTTAAGAAAGATTTGTGTCATCTGACTCACCGAGTATAATCTCTCCTTATTTTTTATCAATGATTGAAAATAATGACTTGATGACATGATACAGGCACCAGACAGGAGTCTGGTGCATGCATCACGCGAGCGGGCGGAGATTCCACAGTTTCAAAAAGAAATCTTAGAATCTGACGCTATGTTCACCTTCAAAAATGGTGGCATCAGTTTTCAAAACGGTGCATCGGATTTTCCAAGGATCCCAGCAGTACCCGGCCGTAAACCAACGTCACATGCCTGAAGTGAGCCACATTCCGTGTGCATATGCAGACAGACCTGGTCCTCGTCCAGCTCACAGCTTAATTGACGGGCTGACTGACTGATTGCGTCGACGGATGATGCTGCAGTCGTCGGGCGTACGTCTTATGTTGTGGCAGATGACCTAGAGCGTGCACAATCACAAGACGCATTTTGCAACTGTTAGGTGGCTTGAAGATACATTTAATGACACGTTGGGGTTAAAATGTTGTGTTTTGAAACGGAAGCCAGCCTTTTGTTTGGTCAGCTGCGGTGGAACTTAAACCAGAACTATTTTCCTTCACCGCACTTATTTTTGTAACCTTCGCCACATAAATCTGGAGGGCCACTTCGCTGCAGGCGAGACCTCTTCAGGCCTCGTCGAACTCACCCTCCGACGGCTCGTGGCCCGCCTTGCGAACGCAGGAACCTACGTTAGGCACTGGTGGTCCCTGACAGATACAGCGGCCCCAACCAGGGTATATCGCTGTTCCCGGCTTTGTGGCTCATTGGGAAGTAGACTTTCGCCCCACACCGACCCGGAGCCAACTGTAGGTGCTGGTGGTGGCTGGACCAACATATAGACCCATCTTGACTCAGGGAGTCCCCGATATGCGTAAAGGGCGCTCCGG